AGTCCTCTTTTCACTGATATTTACTGCAATTTTCTCACTACGCTCCTCTTTTTAAGTTTATATTTGGTTCAATGACCTGCAACCTCCTCAATACTAAACAAATAAAAGAAAGGCAGAGCTGTTAAGTACTCTACTCTCATTCATTCAATTCAATTGTTGTCTTGTATTAAAGAAAACCCATCACCTCTCCAATATTTCTCTTATATAATGGCATTAGAGCATCCCTCACCTCTCCCTCCCTCAGTACAACTCCATAGCAACCACCTTCTCTTCAGGTGAACCTCCCCTCCTTGCTCCATCTCCCTCGAAAGCTCGGCTCTGATCATCTGAGGTAACCATTTTCAGCCTCATCTTTTCCAACGCTAACTATTCTTAATATTATGGGTACACTGGATATTAGCTGTCATCTCATTTCGCAAAACGAGCTGCCAAAAATAATAGTAGTAAGGTTCACTTGCTCCCTATATATAACTAGCAGACATCACTAGCCTGTTTCTTAGAGGTCATTCAGCAAAATGAGTTGCCACTTCGTATCCATTTTTTTTCCATTACTATTTTTAGGGGGAAAAACCGAGGTTTTAACCTGTATATTACTATAAGAGAGAGAGAGAGAGAGCAAAGTATACATAAAAAATACTTTGATGCCCCAAGGTAAATAAGAAAAATGGCAAAATTATAGCTTTGTATAAACCAAATTATGCAAGGTTTTTTTTGTTGATTACTAGATGATTTCGTGGTTCCGGTTTTTTATTTTTATTTTTCACTTTCTTTTGATACTAATATTATTGGCTACATGACGGTTGTTTCGTGTGAAGGAGGTTAAACAATGAGCAGGAAGGGGCCGAGAAGGGACCTGAAGCTGAACTTATCCCCGCCGACGATGCGTGGAAACACATCGAGAAGGGTGGCGGAGGACGACGACGGACTCGCCTGATAATTCTCGTCCCGCGAGCTCGTGTGTGTCATCGGAAGCCGCCAGCAGCCCCGAGGCGACGTCGATGGTGGCTCGCCGGTTGCCCGAGGTGCCTGATTACGTGATGCTGCCTGAGCAGGACTCGAAGTGCCCCAAGTGCAACAGCCACCGTTGCTCCTTGACTTTCTCAACAACAACAGCAGCAGCAGCAGCAGCAGCAATAACAGTAACAAGAACAAGGGCAACGGCAAGAAGAACAGAAAGAGCTGAAGTTTTCGTTATATATCCCTGTTTCTTAGTTTTATGTCACCTTGGTTCTTAGTTTCCATCCATAAGCTTAATTGCAGATACATCTTTTATACTACTGCCTTTAGAATTTCAGACGATTTTTTTTTGAACTTTTCTTGCTGTCACTTTTAAAATTCGATTAAAAGAATTTTCGGTTGAATTAAGGGCAGAAAGATAATTTATCGTCAAGTCATTCACGCAAGTGCGTAGTACAAGAGATGTATCTGCAATTAACCCTTTAATCTATATAAATAGATTGTAGTGGTGGTCTTTTCTGCTAGATGAAGTCTCTGTCTCCTCCTTTTCGTGCTCCCAACTCTCTGTTTGGCCGAAGACGGTGTAAACTGGGCCAACTCCGATGACTAGCCCAAATTATAATATAAATAGTACTCTAGTACCTTCAACTGTGTATTACAATATATATGATCATTTATATGTGGGTGAACTCTTTCTTTCTCTTGAACAGACAGAGCAAGGCTTGTAATTAATGATCTCAGTTAGCCACAAATCATGGTAAAGGGCATTTTTGTAGAGAGTGCTGCTACAGGGACCCTATTTAAAATAGGGGATCCTGCATGGGACAGGTGAGGTGTCGCCTCCATGTCCCGTGATGCATTGTTCATGAACAGTGCATCACAGGACAGAAAGACGACACCTCACATATCCCACTCAAGGTCCTCTATTTTGGAATCCCTGAGGCATTTATTTTTGTAGATGTCATGCTCAATAGTTTGCAAGCATATGCAACTATGCAAGTAGATAGCATATAATAAGATACAGCCCCACCACAGAGAAGTTGATAGATGAGAGGCATTCAAAAGGAAGACTCTTTTGTATTGAAGTACCATTAAAAATCAGATTGAATGCAAGAGTAATTGAGACGGTTGAGAATAATGAAGGGGTGTTTACGTCAGGTGATAAATACCAATTAATTTCTCCACTCTTCTTCCACCACCCGCACCTCCTTGTTTTGCTTTTGTTTTTGCCTTTGCCCTTTAGATTGAATACATACAAGAAGCACCTAATGGCTCCAATAAATGCAAGGCAAAGGCAATACAAATTTGCCACAACAACTACATTTCATCTCATGCATGCGTCACCTATAAATATTACATACTCTGTTAGAACATAAAACTGTAACCCTCAATCCTCACCACTTCATAGTTTTAATATAGTAGCAGAATCCTTGGCATCAGAGCAGTTTGGGTTGTCACAACGTTGGAGTTTTGGTGCAGTGGCTAAGTCCTCAAACATACTCACATTTGACATACTCAATTCTATACCGATACTCCATGTCCATCAACTATTTGTTTCTAAACCCTTAGTTGTCAACTATTTGTTTCTGCACGAATGACAAATTTACTCACCTTTCATCCTTACAAAATAACAAAGATGTCCCTTAATTTTTTGCAATGCAAATAGCTGCTGCATCTTTAGTTGGATGATTGAATGCAAGTATTCTTCTCAATAAACCTGAACAAAAGATCTACGGTCCCAGAACGAAGAAGAAAGAAACATCTGCTTGAACAAGCTAACATGCTGAAAAGTACATCTATCGTTATCGAAATATTCCTGTTTCAATTTCTACACTTCTAATTCTATTAGCCCTTTGAGACTCATCAGCATCTGCATTACTGTTTCCTCTTCACAGAAAGGATGACTATAGAGTTCTCCCTCTTTATCCTTTCCTTCCTTGCAAAACCTAACAGTCAGATATAAGAAATCTAATGAATATGAATTATCCTATAACAGAATACTGCTAACTACGCTATTTCATATATCAGATTATGGTTACTGAGACAAAACAGAACTAGCTGTCAGCCTAAGAGAACTTTGTTCGAAGCAAGCAAGAAAGATATAAATGATAACATAACCACAAATGACCCTTAACAGAACTGAACGGAATGGAAGGATCTATGTGGCTGAACCAAAAGATTTGGCAATAAAAAAAAGTTTGTCACCGGTGTCATTGTTGTTACCTATGTGTTCAAATAATGTATCACGTGTATACTGTTTACAAGTAAATACTGGTTGATGATGAGCCATGATGTATTCCTTAATATTCGGATAAATCATGGGCCTTCATGAATAAAACCGATGAAAAGAATAATTCAGTCACTCCCTTCACATTTTTGAGCAGAAGTACGTCAAAACACTCAAACCATCAAAAATGTTGTGCCTCATACAGCAAATTGATAGCGCAAGATCAAGCTTCATAGTGAGCAACAAGTAGACACAAATGTCAAATGTGGTCCATGAGGTGATGTGTCGTGCACCTATTAATAAGCATAACCTTCTTGGTGATTCGACTATGTCCTCCCTGGCCGACAAAGATGTATTCTAAAGGAATATGGTTTGGTTTCTGCCTAATACCAAACATAATGAGCAAGGAATTGAATCATGAGCAGATAAATAGAAAACATTTCACAATGCAAGATTTGCTAATGGGTCAAAAAAAATTATGACACGGTTTTAATAAGCATTTAATAAATAAGAACGCTCGATAGCCTACATGCCAACTACTTGCAGTTTGAGGTCATAACACTGAATTGACTAAACCATTTAAAAAGGAAGAAAAAAGTAAGGAATCAGTAAATATATAAATGTTAATGATTGAGATCAAATAAATGGTAAAAATGTGAAGCCACCTATCAACATACCTCTCTTACTATGTCCCTTTGTTTTGTAGGCTTGCTAGTAGATGATATATTCCCACATTCAGTCGTGACATTGTTCTATGATCATTCAACCACAATTACAGGGCGAAGTAAAGGAACGCCTATATAGTATCCTGGATGCTCCTTATTCCCCACACTGCACTAGAGTATTCAAGCCAAACCAAAAACAAACAATATGCATATCGTTTTTTGATACTGAACCTCGATGAAATCTCAAAAGATGTTAGAAGACTAGCAGTCACTTGTATGAAGAGCTGCTTCACATAAATGTGCAAACTAGTCAGAGCAATATACCTATATGAATCAAAAGTATGAGTAAACTAAAGATTGAAATGTTGCAAACCATTTTCCAAACGTTTCCACTAAGCTTTTCTGTACTTACGACAGGATGTCCTCAGCTTCATACTAAAAGAAGAAGAAGATCACAGGTATAGAAGATATTACAAATCAGCCTTCAGCTGGACATACAAATAAACCTAGGTAACCAAATATCATGGAATTTCTGATACATAAAGTTCAAGGGATGTTTTATATCATTAACTTGAAAATCTCTAGGGCCCTCATCCATAACACATGGTTCATCTTGCAATTGCTGTCTGATTACAGAACCTCCTTGGTCATATCTGCAAAATTCTCCCAAGGATTAATGATATTTCAAAAAAATATATAAATAAAAGCCATGGGCAAAGCACAAAAGCTTCAAGCAAATTAATAAGAGTGAATTAGGTACAAAATTTGCATCAGAATATCAAATTTTGCACGGGTAATAGCACTACAAACATTGAAAAAGTAACAACTAGAAATGTATTTAACAAACTGTGAAAATTAGCATTTGCTTATGATGGAGGGAATTTCAATTCACTTACTTGTATGTTTAGTATCTACTCCTCTATACAAACGGGAGAACCCAAGATTCACTGCAGCAAACAGGAACCTGGATACTGTAGCATTTATTTTTTTTGAAAACATCACTGTAGCATACGGTAATACTGTAGCTTTTTTTTAAAAAACTACAACAGAGGCGGGAACTGTATCAACCCAAAAAATCTTAAAAATTACTGTAGCATTTAAAATCGGGGTTACTGTAGCAAAAATGATATGTCGTGCTTTGCATGGTGTCACAGACTAGTTTTGAGTAAAGTAGCAATATGAATCCCATTGATACTATTACAAATCAATTGTTGAAGCAAGTTAATATATGCTCTAGTTCTAATCTAGAACAAGCACAGAATAACAGCAAGACTGTTAGGTCTCATGTTTATAAGCCTATTGTCTAATCTAGTTTTGATGATTAACAAACAATTCCTAACATCGTTTGTCGAGTGTTTGTATTTGCTTGTTAGGAATTCTACATAAATATCCTAGGTCGGAGATTGGTTGAACTTGCGTCTTCACGATGATATCTAAAGGAGGTTGGAGGAAATATAAATGAAGTCGTCGCAATTCAAGTCAAAAATTCTATTGTGCTTCATCCATGTTTTACCAAGATCGAGCTTAATGAAGATCATTTGCTTGGGTATAGTAGTTTAGGAGATTTACTTTATGTGTCATACTTAAAAACTCAAATATTACACACATACACGTTTTTGTTTTATAGCTTTCAATTTTAATCGTATAAATATAAAACAAATAGTTATATTTATATACATATATACTTGTTTCATATTTATCATCTTTATTTGGGAAAATAATGTGTTTACAGATTAAAGACTTGATTATACTATTTTATATCCTTTATCAAGTCCATTAATCTACCAGAAAGTGTTTCAGAACTTATTTGAAAAGATTTCATCAAAATTAAGTTTTAATTATTTCGTATTTTTTGAACAAGTTTGCAAAATACTTGTGTTTTCACACTTGGGAAATGTTATTTAAGAAATTTCTTCTTTAACATGTTCATTTTCATATATATAATTGTTTTCCAAAGTTTTACAATTTTTGGAGTTAATTTACTATGTTAAATCAAATTTAGAAAATCAAGTTTTCAAGTAAAATCAAATATCTGGGATATATGTTATCGGTCGACCAACATAGTCTCATCAGTCGACCGAGTCGACCGAGAACAGGTTATCAGTCGACCGACGGATGACCATCAGTCGACTGATCAGAGCTATTTTTCAGCGTTTATTTTCTCAGGTTTATCAGTCGACCGATACTCTTATATCAGTCGATCGATAACCAACCATCAGTCGACCGATGACAAGCCATCAGTTGACCGATAACGACTAGTTTCTGTAACTGGTAGTTTTTGTCAAGTTGTGTTTTTTAGGCTATAAATACCCCTCAAGCCTTGGTTTTTCTCAAGGGTTTTCACTGAGGTTTTAGGTTGTTTGTTTCAAGTTTTTGAAGATCAAAAATTCGTTTATATGAAGAGGTTTTCACATGAGAAGGAATTCAATTTCAAGTTTGAGGCTTTCATCCTCAACATCTTCTTCTCTTATTTAGAGAAATTTTCTAAACTCTTCATCTAGCTTTTTATTGTTTTGTTTCTCATATATTTATGCTAGATTGATTTGAGTTTAATTTGTTTTAATTATTATTTCACACACAACCATTGGGCTTGTTGTAAATTGAAAAGAAATTTGAGGAAAATTTATGTATTTCTTTATATTATCAACCGGGTAATTACATCTGATTTATATACAGAGACCTAGGTTATATTCCATCCTACAATCTGTGGGATATCCTAACAAAAACGGATCCCACAATCTGTGGGATATCCTAACAAAAACAGAAACTAACCAAACCACCCTAATTCCCTAATTCTAGGAAAGCTAACAATTATATTCAATCTTTCCTGATTTAGTCTATACACGTGTAAACACATTTTCCAACACTCCCCCTCAAGCTGGTGAATAGGTATTCATCATTCCCAGCTTGGATACAAAACTCTGAAACACAGAACTACTTAACCCCTTGGTGAGTACATCGGCAAGTTGGCCATGTGTAGATACGTAAGGTGTACAGATCAATCCACTGTCCAACCTTTCCTTGATAAAGTGTCTGTCAATCTCGATGTGCTTCGTTCGATCATGCTGCACCGGATCGGCGGATTGTGAGCTATGCTGATTGCAGATTTGTTATCATAATAGAGTTTCATAGGGCCATCCCACTTAAACTTTAGATCCTCTAGAACAATCTTCAACCATAGTAGGTCACACACACCTTGAGTTATTGCTCGGTACTCTGCCTCAGCACTAGACCGTGCTACCACATTTTGTTTCTTACTCCTCAATGTCACCAGATTTCTACCAATGAAGGTGCAGTAACCAGAGGTTGATTTTCTGTCAACTGACCCAACATAGTCAGCATCTGTGTATGCCTCAAGAGCCAACCCTCTATTCCTCTTGAAAAGGATGCCTCTACCTGGTGTCCCTTTGAGATATTGTAAAACTCTGAATACTGCCTATAAATGAACTTCCTTTGGATAGTGCATAAACTGACTAATCACACTCGCTGCATATGCAATATCTGGCCGAGTGTGAGAAAGATAAATGAGCCTCCCCACCAACCGTTGATACATTTCTCTATCCACCATTGTATCTTCTTCTGCCTCGTTAAGCTTGAGGTTCGGTTCTATTGGAGTACTCACCAGTTTGCATGATGTCTTGCTAGTTTCTTTTAGTAGATCTATAACATACTTCTGTTGAGAAATGAAAATGCCTTGCTTAGAATGAGTCACCTCAATCCGAAGAAAATACTTCAACCTTCCTAATGTCTTGATCTCAAACTCCTTAGCCAAACACTGGCTTGGAAGTTGCCTCTCCCTATCATCATCACCGGTCACAATTATGTCATCAACATACACCAATAGGACTGTAACTTTACTTGAAGATGAGTGTTTAATGAACAAAGCATGATCTCCTTGACTTTGTCTATATCCCATGGTTGTCATCACTCTAGCAAACCTTCCAAACCATGCTCGCGGTGATTACTTAAGTCCATACATAGCCTTTTTTAGTCTACATATTGTACCAGCAACCAAACCTTTATTATAACCTGGCGGGACTTCCATATAAATTTCCTCCTCCAATTCTCCATGCAAAAAGGCATTCTTGACATCAAACTGCTGTAATTCCCAATCACAATTAGCTGCTAATTACAATAAGACTCTAACAATGTTCATCTTTGCAACCGGAGCAAACGTTTCTTGGTAATCAATCTCATATGTTTGAGTATAACCCTTGGCCACCAACCTAGCCTTGTATCTTTCTATAGATCCATCTGCTCTATAGTTTATTGTATAAACCCATTTACACCCTACAAGTTTCTTTCCTTCAGGCAACTTCACTAACTCCCAAGTTCTGTTCTTTTCCAATGCCTCCATCTCCACATTCATAGCCTGTTGGTTAAAGCCTCAGATAACCTGGTAGGAATGGCAATGGTATTTAGGCTGATAAGGAAGGCTCTATGAGATGGTGAAAAACGTTTAAAGGATAGTAAATGTGAAAGAGGATATAGAGGTCGGTTTCTGCATTCTCTAACTCCTTTCCCAACATCAATAGGGAGGTTCTGGTCATCATTGTTTATCTCAGTTTCAGACTGAAAGGAAGGACTAGAAATTGTTACCTCATTCTCAGGATTTAGATTGGAGTCTTGGACTTGCACAGATTCAGGGATAACTTGCTTCCTTCTTGAAAACACCTTTCCTTTGCCAAATCTTACACCATCAAGGACCGGATTTAAAGATGGATTTGCAGGAGACACAAAATTTAGATTTTCAGTAGGCTCGGTGGGAGGAACATTAATAGGACTAGACTGACTAGGTTGTCTTGACACAGGAAGAGATGAGGATGGCAATGGCAAATCATGAAGTAAAAAATCTGCCTTATCCTTATCTTTCATTATTGAATTCTCCCCCAGAAGATAATGAATAGTGAAATAGGATTCTTGTTCATGAAAAGTTACATCAACTGAGACATAGAACCATTTTGTTGGGGAATGATAGCACTTATACCCCTTTTGAGTTGAAGAGTATCCCACAAACACGCACTTTAATGCCCTTGGATCCAATTTTCCCCGGTTTTGACTATGAACATGAACAAAGGCCACACACCCAAATATGTGAGGAACAAGATTATTTGTGACGCGTATATTTGGATAGAATGTGGAAAGAACATCCATTGGACTTTTAAATCCTAGGACTCTAGAAGGTAACCGATTGATGATATGGGCAGCTGTAAGGATTGCTTCCCCCAAAAAGATTTAGGCACATTTTTCTAAAACAGAAAGGATCTCGTGGAATCGAGGAGGTGACCATTTTCCATTATGCTACTCCATTTTGTTGTGGAGCACTAACACAAGAGAACTCATGTATTATTCTCACTTTCTGAAAGTATGGAGTTAAGACTTGATTGAAATAGTCTTTAGCATTATCCGACCTAAATCTTTTGATATTGACATCAAATTGAGTTTTTATCATAGAACAAAAATTTGGGAAAACAGTGCTGACATCGGACTTCTGTTTAAGCAAAAAAATCCAGGTTACTCGAGTACAATCATCAATGAATGACACAAACCATCTAGCCCCATTTACATTAGAAACAGTGGGAGGACCCCAAATATCATTGTGAATAAGGTAAAAAGGAATGAAACTTCTTTTATTACTTATTGGAAAAGATACACGTTTGTGTTTAGCAAGTTCACACACTTCACAATGAAAACGTTCAACATCTAAACCCTTAAATAGAGAAGGGAACAAAAGTTTAAGAATCCTAAATGATGGATGTCCAAGTCGGCGATGATGAAGCCAGACTTTTTCTTTATTAGAGGAAAGAGACTCTAAGACAAAAGAATAAGATGTTATGCCCTTGGTAATGTTGGATTGACTTGGTGTTTCAAGATAGTAAAGCTCATCCTGTTCTCTAGCTTGTCCAATCGTCCTCCCCGAATCCTTGTCCTGAAATACACAATAACTTTGATCAAACACCACTTTACAACGCAAATCTTTAGTGAGCTTTTGGATTGAAACAAGATTTGTGGTTAGCCTAGGGACATGAAGAACATTTTTTAATAACAGTGACGAGCTTATCTTGATATCACCTATACCAGCCACCGTGGTCAAATGATCTATTGGATGTGACTATTTTCCTATTACTTGGACATAGGGCATATGAGGAGAAATTTTTTGATGAATGGGTCATATGGTCGTAGCTCCCGAGTCAATAATCTAGGAACTTGTAAAGGCTATATCCGAGACATTTAATCCAATGGAGAATGGAAGTTTACCAGAATATGCCAGTGAATAAGTACTTGATGGTTTTTCAAGGCTGCTAATAAGTGATCTTACCCTCTCAAGTTCTTCTTGGCTGAGATTTCCCATTTCTTGTGGTGTTCCTTCATGCGGTGACACTGATGCAATCTGAGCTTGTCCACTATTCCTCGGTTGATCTCCCTTTTGTCCCCACTCTCGGCTTAGTGGTTTTCCATGCAGTTTCCAACATCGCTCACGAGTATGATGTGCAGTAAGTACACCATAGAGTGTCACGGTTTTGAGTCCTTGGCTAGTTGGTTCTCCCATTCTCGACAGCTGCCACTTTTGCTGCATTTATGGTTGTCTTATTATTGTTACTAGCAACCAAAGTCGAACTGTCAGTGCTCTTTGGTTCAAGCATCAATTCCCTTCTACTTTCTTCTCCTCGGATGAGTGCCACCACTTCATTGAAGCTTGAAATTTCTTGTTTGCCAAGAATCTGAATTCTAACTTGGTCGAATTCCGGATTTAGTCCAACAAAAAAATCATAAACTCTATCTTGCTCAATAAACTCCTTTAAAATTACAACATCTTCAGGACATTTGGTTTTTATCACCCTGTAGTGATCAAGTTCTTGCCATAGAGCCTTCAATTGATTGGCATATTCAGTAACTATTTTACTGCCCTGTTTTGCAGCCATCGTTTGCACATTGACTTCATAAGCTTGAGCTGCGTCTCTTGCTTTTGAATAGGTCTGCTAAATTGCGTCCCAAATATCCTTAGTTGTAGCCAGAAACATACATGTGTCACTGATCTCAGGAGTCATAAAGTTCCATAGCTATGCCATAATCATAGAATCTTCTTCATCCCATGCTTCAAAACGAGGATCTCCTGGTTTTGACCCGGTACCCAGGAGATGACTAATCTTTCCTTTCTCTTTCAGTACTGTGCGAACAAGCTGTGACCACTTCAAATAGTTCTTCCCGTTCAACTTATATACTGATTGAATCTGTTGCAATTCTCCATGCACTGATTGCGGTGTCACTTCATCAACCATGGTCGTATTGTGGACTTCAGATGTTTCTGTCATGATTTATAAGAGAAGGCAAAAGAAAAGAGAAAACGACAAGGTTTTTTTTTATGAAGCTCAATCGTTTTCCTAGCGATGAAGGCCTAGTGTTAGAAGACTGAATCCAACTCCGTCGATTAAGGCGGGAGTAGACCATGAAAAACAGCGATTAAGGCCGAAAAACACAGAAAAATCCCAGAAAGAGCCTAGGGCTCTGATATCATGTTGTAAATTGAAAAGAAATTTTTGAGGAAAAATTATGTATTTATTTATATTATCAACCGGGTAATTACATCTGATTTATCAACAGAGATCTAGGTTATATTCCATCTCACAATCTGTGGGATATCCTAACAAAAATGGATCCCACAATCTGTGGGATATCATAACAAAAACAGAAACTAACCAAATCAACCTAATTCCCTAATTCTAGGGAAACTAACAATTATATTCAATCTTTCCTGATTTAGTCTATACACGTGTAAGCACATTTTCCCACAGAGCTTAAGTATTTCAATATAGTATTATTGGGTTGTGGGGTGTGATCATTGAGTGAGCTTTCATTTTCGTTCTCATTTGTATTAGAGAACAAAATCATTTACTTGAGCTTATTGTTGAGAACACGTTGTAATACACAAGGACACTTAGAGGAGTGGTTGATAGTGACAAGATCAATTCCAAGAGGAGTGGCTTGGTTGTAAAAGCCTAGGGAGAGATAATTCCAAGCATTTGAGGAAGGTAACACGGGTAGACCAACACTTAGAAGAGTGTATTATATGATTTTCAACGTATGATTTGTAAACGTTATTGGCGAGCATTGAAAACCGATTTGTGTAGTTATTATTTGTGTTGATAATAGAGAATCTCCTCGAGGTGAGGAGCGGAGACGTAGGTCGAGGGTTGATGGAACTCCGTGAACATATCATTGTGTTTGTGATTGTTTTTGGCGCACTCTTATTGTCTCATTGTTTATATCGCCTATTGGTTATTTGTTTATCCTTGCATATATCACTTTGTTTATCATATTGCTAGGATATTAGTTGATAAGTTTTAATTTGGCATCAATATCGAATTATATTAGCAAATACCCTATTCACCCCCCTTTAGGATACTTTCAAAGATAACTAATAAATTCTAGTTCTAGTTAATATGCAATTGCAAAACTGAAAAAGACATGTTCAAGACATTGATAATCATCACTTGGTGTTCTATTCTTTCGCAAGCAAGAAATGGAAAGCATATTCTGGCTTCCCTTCTATGTTTCATCTGTATCTCTTTAAAGGGAAAAACTGAATAGCATGGCTTGCTGACATGCCCACTTTTTACAACTGGAGCAACTTCTAATCAATGGTCGATAATATTTATCTTGAGAGGCCCAAGAATCCAAGATACAAATTCTCATGATTTCTCTATTATTTGAAAGAAAATTAAATTATTGAATGTTTATAAGAGTATAACCCTAGAAGATATGAAATGGCAATTGCCTTTTAAATAATACAATTATTAATCAAAAAATACAAAGTTACCTATGAGACACATAAACCCTAGAATCCGCCTCAATGAAAATCTCCAATATCTTGAAGATCAGGCATTGTAACTTTCCTGGAGCATTGTCCTGATCAATACACTAATGAAATGGCCAGGATCAAATAGCTATAAAAACCGTAATTCTTTTTTTTCTTCTTCCTCTTCTTCTTTCTCTCTATGGCCGCAAAATTCACAAACATCAGCAGGGCTTTTTTTCCTGCCTCTGTTCCGAAGGGCATCTCACGTGATACCCTAATCATCAAAAGCAAACCCCAAATGCAATAACTTATTCCCGTTAAAATATATTAGTGGGCCCTGCTTCCTTTTGTTACTCTTTTGGTAACAGAATTTAAGCTCCCCCACTCACACTAATGCAGCCTTATAGCTTAATAGGTAACGCTTTTAAAATTTTGAGGGGACCTGTCAATAATAACCTTAGCCTAACAGAAACTAAACTTGCTCCGCCGGTACTTCTAATTTCAGGAAGTGTTAATAGCAATGATTTATGAATCAGAAAGTTGGGCAATTAAGAAGTAGTATGTGCAGTAATAAGAATGGTATGATGGATATGTGGGATACACACTAGGAGATAGGAAATGAGCACATTTATAGGAAGGTATTAATCCTATTACGGATAAAATAGAAGAGAACTGATTGAGATGATTTGGACATATGTAATAGAAGCTGCTAAATGCACTGATTATGAGAAGTGATAATATTATCATTAATGAGACAAGATGGCCTAGAGGTAGGCCATAGGCCTAAGGAAACCTAGTTGGAAGAGTAGCCCCATAAGAAAGTATTCTATAATAAACTGAAATATAAAAAAGCCACTCATAATAACAAATACTTTTAGAAATTGGACAAAAAGGGAAGAAAAAAGTTACCTTATACACAGAAGTTTGTCTACAGTGAATTAACCAATAAGATATACGGCAGATGCTTCTTTTAAATCATCAACTACAGAGGTAAAACTCGCACATGCACCAACTCCTAAATTAATTTCAGGCTAGGAATATAATATACATGAAAACTGGACTTCAGTTAGGCACTTGAAATCGTCGGCTCACAGAATCATAATTTGGAACTCTATCAACTGCAGAATTGCGAAATGATATGAAAACGTGTTAGGAAATTTAAACTTGCCAGCTATGTAGCACGGACACGGATCCGACACGGCCATCCGACACGCCGACACGAGGCAAATCCTAAAAAATACATAGGATACGTGTGTTCGACACATGTATCCGACACGGACACGACACGACACGGCTTCATGTTATGCGTGTCCGTGCTTCATAGCTTGCCAGGTTCAAAAAGATAACGAAAAAAGAAAGGAAAGCAAGGAATAAACTACCATCTCCCATGCAAGCCATTGCAAGCGGTGATGATAACATTTTCTGAGAAATCATTGTGAGATCATCGACAGTCAATTCATCTAAAATCTCTAGAAAATACTCCAGTGAGTTCCTGTAAGATTTCCAGCACTTAGAGAACCGATATACCTCATGCAATATATTCGAATTAGACAAATGAAATTAGCAACCTACCGACAACCATATGTCAATATTTGCCTGCCGATATCCTCTGTACAAATTGACTGCACAAATGAGAAAAACAGTTGCATAAAGAATCTCCTAGCAAAAAATATGGAAACAGGAAAAAGAAAGTTCTTGGAAAGGTACCCTAGATTCCAAATTTGTCAAAATAGCAGATTTGGTGGCATTTTTAGCTCGAAGTAGTTCAAGCTCAGTCACTGCAATAAGTTCAAGATTAATTGATTTAGATGTTTCCTACTAAATGAGATAAAATCCGCTAGCTAAACCTACCCTGTCCAGGAGTTGCAACTGCTAATAATTCAGAAGCTGCTACATCCACAGCTTTTTCCACAAAATCTGATCCCTGCATGTATATACTTGAAAAGTATTAAGGAATTCTGAAGTTGTACGCTCAAGTATCCGCATTACTGCCTAGTGAAAGGCTGAAACTAAAAAGCTTTATCAAGTAATAGAAAAAAAACCAAAAATACGGGGAAAAAGAACAAAAAACTATAATCAAGAGCATAGATCAGGAAACAATATACCTGAGAGAACTATTATCTAGCGCATAGATCGGCACACATTAATGTTATATGAGTACTTCTATCATGAAACCGTCCACGTACCTAAACTTCATGGACACCCCTTGGATATATGCATCCATTTATTTCGACATGCATTCAATTTTATATGTGTGTGTTAATTTGAAACACTTGTCATACACTTCTTGGACGCATATCCTATATTCACATCCATTTCTTGAAAATCATAAGACATCAGCCAGGTTCTGTTCAGCCCATACCCAAGCTCACTACTATGATTTTGAAGGGTCATTTGGGTATCTTAGTTAAAAAAAGAGCCGTATTCAGCTTATAATAATCAACATAATAAAAGAAACTTAAAATTGTGATAAGAATTTTTAGTTTAATAACACAATGAATTGAGAAACTATAATGATCTCATGTAAATTATTAATTTCAATATGTATATATATATATACACACACAGCCTGCATTTTACAAATTCGCTGTGTCCCATACCCATACCCATACCCGCCCATACCGGTATCCATACCCGTTTCAATGCAACTTAGGGACACAATAATACTAAAAGAAAGAGGTAATATAATTTGAATGTTAATTGCTGGATCCAGATAGAAAATTTGAAAAGGGTTATTTTCTGTATCAATTCTTAACATGTGTAGTGAAAAGGGGAAACAAAATAAATGCATAGAAGAAAATGAAGGCAGCACGGTTTCCAATTAAGCTCATAATCTTTCTTTTACAAAATTGTAAGCTAAGAGTTCCTTACTGTCGTTAAAAAGATGCCAAAGAGGCCAGTATCATCATTTATGTTGCAAAATGCTGAAAAATTCTGAACTTCTCGATATGCATTTAGGACTCTAAGATCTGCAGTAATAAGAAATGTAGCTTAAGCGATTTGCACGGAGTTAAAAGAAGTCAACTAATTAACTCCAAATGAAAAAGTGAATGTGAACTGAAGAATAGCCTACAAAGGATCTAAATAGTTAAAGAAAATGAATCACATAAGTAGACTCACAAAGCCGAGAATGCATCCCCTTCCCAGGGCCACCAGCAGAAAATGAACCACCGCCACCCATCAGAGTCTGTAACAGACAAACACATTTTCAGATAACAGCAAAATTATTTGAGCAGTTAAATAAAAATAATGAACTAAATATGCATGTATTATTTGATGCCAAAACCAAAATGTTAACAATCACAATAAACTTGGTACCTGCAGAACAGTAAGAGCTGTAGAATATTTCTCTTGATGCCAGCCTCCTGGAACTTCAAAAGCCAATGCCACATGAGTCATCTACTAAGAGGGCAATAGATTAGATGAGATCCTCAGTGAATGCAGTAAAATGATTTATTCTATTCATAATGAGACTTAACATGTTATTGGATAAAATAGATACGTTTCATATAATTTAAATCCTTTACTTATTTTAGTTCATAGAGAAATCTAAAAAGCATATGCTAGCCAACACCTAAAAGTTTTTGGACTTTATGAAAAATATTCTCTAAAATTTTTAAATTACAAAAACACCCCTACAAATTCAAAATTTTATTAAAACTTCTTAAAATTTATAAATTTTACTTATCTCAATTCAGTAAGAAATCTGAAAAATATATGCAAACTAGAAATTGAAAGTTTTTTGACTTTAGAGAAAATATCTTGTAAGTTTTAAAAATTATAAAAACACCCCTAAAAATTTAAAATTTATAAAAACATCTTGAAAATATCAAACTTATAACATACTAAACACCTACAAATAACACAAACAACTCCTAAAAATTTATAAATTTGCAATACGCACTCTAAACTTTTTACAAATTACAAAATAAAACCCTCAAAATTATAAAATTTATAAAAATCCTGATAATTTCTGACCTAACAGTACATTAAAAATATAAGAAATATAAATATTCCCTACATAATTTATAATTTATAAAAAACACCCTTAAAGTTTTTTTAAAAACTACAAACAAATGTTAAAAATTTAGAATTTACAAAAAAAACATCCTGAAAATTTCAAATTCATTAGTAAATTGAAAGCATAGGAAGTATTAATAGTCTATAAACAATTTACAATCTGTAGAAAGGCTTATAAGTTTAAAAAATTATAAAAAGTCCTTAAAATTCATAATTTACAAAAAAACTCCATGAAAATTTCTAACCTATAGACACTGAAATGAATATGCAAAATTACTAACCCCTAAAAAATTAAAATTTTGCAAAAAATATCATACACATTTTAAAAGTATAGGTTTAGGAAAAAAATTTCATGATAAATATTACCCATAACTTTTTTGAAAGGAACATAACTAATTAAAAATCTATTAAATTTGATATTTATAAAAATACCCTTATAGTTTAGTACATTGTAAATTATCCCTCCAAAGTTTAAAATTTTTTAATAATTTTTTGTAATTCCTTGATTTCAATGTAATGTTTAATAGTTGTGTATTTGTAAATTACAAATTTTAGAGTGTTTTTTACACTTTTTAAAACATTTGAGGGTGTTTATTTTGTAGTTTTTATGTTTTCAATGTAATGCACATATACATCAATTAATGATGATATTGAAGAATAAGTCGTTCTTAAAATTATTAGACCATAGTTAAGTGTGCACATCACTATTCCTAAACAGTATAGTTTATATATGCAAAAAATTTCAGACAATCTATGTAGTGGTTAAAAAAAATTTAACTTTAATGTACTATTTTTTACAAATTATATTTAATGTAAACCCACCATATAATTTTAACTGTGGTCATTATAATTTTAATATGTTTGATTGATTGACTATATACATATATAGACCATAGATTACTTTACTTTCTCACATAAGCTAACATTTTGTGCTTAATAATTTAAATTATTACTTTTAAATTCAATAAAGAGCAGTTCTAATAATATTTATTTATTTACCTACAACATAATACAATCTCAATTCCTATTTTTTGCTGGAGATTTATTCCATAATTACGCGTATCAAATTAGTAACTAAAATAGTAATTATTTATGCTTAAATTAGGATGATTGTAGTTGGTCACTCACTATGAATTTTTTATGAATATATATATCTTACTTTCTATAGCTATTTACACTGCCCATGTATATTTTATAAATTATGTCCTAATTTGACATTAAATTATTTTTTCTTTGAAAATTTCTTCTTTGACTTTTAGACTGTGTAATCACTATATCATTCTAGCATAAAAAAGACTTCACTCTAAATGGCTTCAAACCAATGTTTGAGTTGAAGTATATACTATTGTTACTGTGTGTATATATTTTTTAAGAAAATCATGTCAATACTTTTTAAATAGAAGAGCATATTCTAACATCTAATATTATAAAAATTAAATATAATCAATTGAATGATTAGCAAAAGAGAACTTACATCAGAAAAGTATGAATAATAAGATAAAGAGGAAAGATAATGACATTGCCAATAGTACTACAAATAGCAAACTATAATGTAAAATTAACCTATTTTGTGGAGCCCAACTACTAGCTATAAGATCGAGGTTTTCATATATATAATTTATAATTTATTAAAAATAGTCATATAATCTTATATAATAAAAGTGATTTAATATTGAATAATAATATCATTGTAATAATATCATTATTAGAAAAAATTCTTCATAAATCAATATGCTCTTTACGATATATAAGCTATGCACTCTAAATTCTTGTATCGTTTATAGAACCAAAAAGCTTGAATACGAACCTCTAACATGTTGCTCTCATAACAGTAAAATCCACTTAGAAGATATGAATATTCTAGATGAGTTATGTATCCTATATACAATACAATTGTCATAGGCAAGTGAATTATAATAGTATTTTTCATTCACATCATTTGGGATAAAATTTTATAGGGACCTTGCATCAAAGAAAAAAAATTATATTTAGAGCACATGGCGAAATATATCATAATTTTCTTGTTCTAATTTCGTAAAAAAATAATTCTTTGTACTTTCAGTTTTACTTCTATGATACAGAGAATGAGTTATAAAATTGAATGAGAATATTAGATAATATAAATATGAGCGAAATATCAACTAAAAGTTAACATGAATATGAGTCAAACCACAACTACAAGTTTAATGGACATATTATAAGTATATTCATATGCAAAATTCTTTTGCGAATTAAATGATCACTCATCTTTTGAAGACTTTAAGATACTAATAAATAGAGATGTTGTACTAAATTAATATGTTTATAACTTACAAATAGTAGATCACGTAGCCAAAGTTTGGGTTGAAGGAAATAATAATATTATGTTATTTGAAAGAGATTATTGAGTTGATCAATCCCACAAAAAACTTTATTTTTTTATTTTTACTATATTTTTATCAATTTAAATAATCATGATATTCAACCACATGCATTGTACGTGCATCTCAACTAGTATATATATAGACACACACATATATATACATACATATATATATATATACATACATACATATACATATACATATACATATATATATACATATACACACAGATGTATATGTATATGTGTGTATATGTACATATATGTATATGTATGTATGTATATATATATGTGTGTGTGTACATATACATGTGTGTGTGTGTGTATATATAGAGAGAGAAATGGGTATGTTTGGTACCAAGCATAAAGTTTTTGTGCTTGGTAATGAGGTAACATATTCCCCTCCACCCATTGTAATTGGGGTCCACATTCACATGGGTTGAGGAGTGGTTAGGAATTAGAATTAATGGATGAGAATAGGATACCTCACTACCAAACACAAAATTTGTGCTTGGTACCAATGATACCCATTTTCCTCATATATATATATATATATATATATAATATATTCATAATCTTTAGGATGATCAATGATGGAAAATATGGTGATGGTCACATAATTGACTATACACCAGAAATATATTATATGAGAGTTAAGTTCAAATAATATATAATAATATATATATTAATATATAATATTATTAATAATATAGTATAATATTATATTATAATATATAATATAGTATTAATTGTGTGTGTTACACACACACATCTATATAACGATATATTATACACATGCCATAATAATACGTATAATACGTATTTCTTGTGTGTTTGTAGTGTGTGGTTTATATATATATATAGTATATATATTGGTTTCGTCGAAAGTTCTTCAATCGTAGATTCCATTAAAACTAAAATGTACAGAGAATTAAACAATAGTAAGCAAATTCAGACTCTCTTGAAAAATAACACAGAAACTCGTTAATCGACTGCCTGTTTTGGACTATTGCCTGTTCGGGATGCTTTGGCCATCGTGACACAACGATATCACAATTGTGGGGGTTTTAAAGATTCTCCTTTCGTTATACGAAGATATGAATTTGAAGCGAATATCTATCGATGTAAAGCCCTCCCCCCCGCCCCCACCGCCCCCCCCCACCTATTCACGTCTTCAAAATCACAGTCTGACTTAGATCTCTAGAATTACCAAAACCTTGTTTATCGAAAGTGAAATATTCTCTCTTGCACTTCAATATTAATCAAGCCCAAGTCATCTATCTCCAATACGCCCTCCGTTCTTTGTTTAGTATGCTAAGAAGGTATCTTATAAGGGATAGGAGTGTCGCACAACCTATGAAGCGGGGCCGAAATAACTGACCGAGTGACGGCTCTTTGGCGCGGCATCTAAGACTGTCGTGCTATAATATATAGTATATATAGTGATATATATATTAGTATATATAGTATATATATATATGTGTGTGTGGTGTTGTGTGTGGTTGTTTATATAATATATATATATAATATATATATAATATAGATAGAATAGATAGTGTAACAACCACACACATATAATATATATAGCTATATATTATATATATATAGTATATATATATATATTATAATATATATATTATATAATCAATCTTAAATAAAAACACCGCTATACATTTGTATGTATTTTTCTGTTATTTATAACAATTAAGAACCATGTTAAATCAAACTAAGAATAAGGTTTAACAATAGAGTTTAGTTTTGATCATATGGGATAATACGACGAGTATGTTTCAAATATTTATGTAATGAGTTTCATGTTTCGGATTCAAAACACGATTCGTTTTTAACCCATTATTATCAAAGAAACTAATTTAGGATATAAGTAAGAGAGAAATCGGCTTTTGCTTTAAACCACACGTGTCTATGGAGAGAAATCGGCTTTTTCTTTAAACCACAAGTGTCCATGGAGAGAAATCAGCTTTTGCTTTAAATCACACGTGTCCATGGTGTGTCTATGGAGAATCTATGTCCAACACGTGTCAGACACGGACACAGCACCCAAAACGCCGCGTCCGAGTAATCTAGAGAATAGCTAAATACCTCTGAATCTGCTTTGTGCCTAAAATCACCACCAATGTAAGTTGACTTTGGGACCTCCACAGCAGTACCTCTCTTTAAGTCATACAATAGAGGCTCTGCAATAGTTAATAAGTGCTCATGATCCACACCATACCCACTCAGAACCATTCGATTAGCTGTATAGTTTTCCTGCAAATTAATAATATAAGTCATTGTGTATACTGAACATCTGAAACACTATGTACCAAATAAAGAGTGACACACTAAGATTATAGCTTACGTAGTGGAATTTTCCAATAACAGACCCATCAATTTTTTCCAGAACTGACTCAGGCGCCATTAACGGATTTCCCAAAGGACCAGAATATCCAGAAACATGAAGCGCCTCGAACAGAAACTTTTGTGGGTCATTTGTAACTTCTCCCACTTCTCTTTTAACCTGAGCTAGCTGCATAATTAATACAATCAAATATAGCAAACTTAGCAGGCTACTTTATGAAAAATAAAAGCATGTTAGCAACAAAATGAAGTGTATTAATGAATTCTAACCTGCTCCTCTACCTCATCGTCGAGAAATAGAGGGTTTCTAACGCAGTCGATTAGTAACTCTATTGCCTGTGGAAGATAGGTCTTTAAGGTGTCGTAACTGTAGCCCATCTGTTCACGAGAGGCAGATGTACTCAGATTGCCTCCTGTTTTCTCAACATCATGTATTATCTGCAAGTGGCTACGGTTCTTTGTGCTTTTAAAAGCTAGTCTTTCTAAAAGATGAGTAACACCAATATATTCCCCTGATTCGTATACAGAACCACAGTCAACAAATATCCCTATGCATGCAGCAGGGCCCTGCCATAAAAGAATTCAAACCACTTGTTTTACTTAAGTTTGAATTGGAGTTTATAATGGAACATTCTGACAAATAGAACTCTAATAATAAATGAATAGGCAGAGAGAAGACATCCTATAATAAAAAATTGTGCAGAAAACATCAATTCAGTGAAATTTAGATTTTAGTAACTATATGAAAATTGGAGTAAAACATTGTTACAAATTAAAAGTAGTTGATGGTCACCCCGAGTTCTTGTCAGAGTGAAAGGAAATCCGTTTCATAGGCCCCGTTTGGTTCCGGTTTTTGGATGGGTAAAAGGGGGGAAAGTTGCCAAAAATGTCAGCTTTTTGGCAGCTTTCCCCCCTTTTACCCATCCAAAAAACAGATCCAAACAGCCCCATATTGTTTTGCTTCACCAAACCACAACTACTACTCCAAGAAACAATGATCACTCACCTATTGATTACTAATTTCAAATCTGAATCAGATATGAATGCTAGAGCTGTATATGCATATGTGAATGTTGTTGTAAAATGCACAATATTTCCATTTGATTTCTGTCTGCAAACATTCTCGAGGAAATGACCCCAAGGAGTTTCACGGCCACTCATTCATTCAAATTAGGTCCACCTCGAAATGCCCAGGAGCAATTTAAAGAACAAGAAAATATCTCAACTCTCTATATATAAAGTAAAATCAAGAAACAACCAGCTAAATAATCCACAGAAACGGTAACTTACTGGCAAGGGAACATAAAGAGTATAGAACTGTATACCATAATCCTTAAAGAGAATAACTCTCAATGTTAAGGATGTCGATATAGATATAGCAAACCATTTTCTGATCATTGTCAAACTATACATCAAAGAACTTATGAGACTTAGACGCACGATTCTCCATATACACAACAACAATGAACAAGGAGCTTTATTGCTTCATATCCAAATCATCGGAGTTCTAAAAGTAGTAAAGCAGAAATAAGCCAAATTAGATTAAGAGTATCATACCGAGGCATCCTCAGAAGCGATCCTTAGTCCATTTGGAAGCGTAGTAATTCTAGTAGGACTCCTTTCAACAGAATCCGGGAGGTTTGGAGGAAGCTTAAGCCCTGGTAAAGGATGAAAAAGAGGAGGAAATCTTTCTGAATAGCTCCCTTGAGACGAATAAAGAGGTTCTTGAGAGAAATATCTTGATGCAAGATTTAATCCCCTCATTCTCTCAGATTGCATACTGATGAATTTACTGCGACAACCTCCATTCTCAAGAAGCTAGCAGTTACAAAATGACATTAGTAACAGACTGTTGCTACTCATTGCAAAGTACCATAAAATTGAATTTGTAAAAGGGTAAATTACATATAAAAATAAAAAACAGAAAACCCTGGAGGGCTTTTCAAAATCAAAGGATTATGCACTCCCATATGAACATATATATGACTATCGCTTTTAAAATATTAGATAGCTTTTGTGCCAATCGTCCAAATTAACGAAAACAAAAAAGATCAAACAAAAATTCAAACATTATCAAATTTGAAGATTAGTATGACATTTTTTGGACAAAAACCACTGTAGTATCCACGCCACTTTCTTTAAGCGATATCGTTGACCAAATACATTAATGGTGGAGCTTATTGAGTCATTTTGTCAAATGAATTTTAGAGTATAGAGATCTTTTGGGGTAAAAAAAAAAGAAACCCTAATAGCTGAATTAGAGAAATTAATTTATCGAACAAAAGACTAAATCGAACAAAAGACTAACCTTTTGAAGGAGAGAGCGATTCCAGGATCGAAACATCCTGATTCAAAGGTCCAAAGCTTATGAATTGATATTTGCCGTTAAAAGAAGCAGCTTTTTGAGCAGAGAAAGAGGGGAGAGGGTTTTAGGGGACAAATTTTCAAAACCAACCCATTTGGAGTTTTTATTGGAAAAAAAGACCCGTTTTACATTTATTTAGAGAAACCGACCTGGTTTCAGCCTCAGCGCTGAAACCAGGTCGGTTTTTGAAAAAAAAGTTTCCGAAACTTCACGGGAGTTGAACTCCCGTGAAGTTTAGCAGCTTTTAATTAAGCTGTTAAACTTCACGGGAGTGGAACTCCCGTGAAGTTTAGCAGCTTTTAATTAAGCTGTTAAACTTCACGGGAGTTCAACTCCCGTGAAGTTTCACAGTTCAAAAAAAAAAATTGAACTGTGAAACTTCACGGGAGTTGAACTCCCGTGAAGTTTAGCAGCTTAATTAAAAGCTGCTAAACTTCACGGGAGTTCAACTCCCGTGAAGTTTCGGAATTTTTTTTTCAAAAACCGACCTGGTTTCAGCGCTGAGGCTGAAACCAGGTCGGTTTTT